CCTACGTTTGATAAAGATGGGAACCCGATTTCAGGAAACGCCATGGGGGCCCGTCCTGGGCCCCGTTCTAAACCAGGGCATTTCTAGTTCAGGCCATTCCCTCACCCTGTACAATGTCTGTCCCCCACCACAGCTCGTAGTGCTGCAGTAGATTTATGCTGCACAAAAGCTGTGAGCCTTCTGCCTGGGGAATCCCCACAAAAGATCCCAACAGGAGTCTGTGGACCCTTGCCAGCAGGCACAATAGGATTACTTTTAGGAAGGTCCAGTTTAAGTTTAAAAGGCATACAAATACATACAGGAGTCATTGATTCAGATTACAATGGGGAAATTCAAATTGTTGTATCTACGCCTGTTCCCTGGAAAGCAGAGTCAGGAGAGTGCATAGCACAGCTCCTGACTGTGCCGTATGTGGGAATGAGAAAAAGTGAAATTAAACGAACAGGAGGATTTGGAAGCACAAATAAACAAGGCAAAGCAGCTTATTGGGTAAATCAAATTACTGATAAACGTCCTACCTGTGAAATAACTATTCAGGGAAAGAAATTTAAAGGTTTGGTAGATACAGGAGCGGACATTTCAGTCATTTCTCTACAGCACTGGCTGTGCACATGGCCAATTCAACCCACTCAATTTAACATAGTTGGAGTTGGTAAAGCCCCTGAAGTATATCAAAGTAGTTATATTTTGCATTGTGAAGGGCCCGATGGACAACCTGGGACTATTCAACCAATTATAACTTCTGTACCTATAAATTTATGGGGAAGAGATTTATTACAACAATGGGGAGCACAAGTTCCAATTTCAGAACAATTATATACTCCTCAAAGTCAATATACAATGCATGAAATGGGGTATGCCCCTGGTATGAGAGTAGAAAAAAATTTGCAAGGTTTAAAAAGTTCCCACCAAAGATTAAGATATCATTTTTGATGGTGGCCATTGTTAAGCCTCCAGAACCTATACCTTTAAAATGGTTAACAGATAAGCCCATTTGGATAGAACAATGGCCACTAAGTAAAGAGAAACTGGAGGCTTTAGAGACATTAGTTACTGAACCATTAGAAAATGGGTACATAGCTCCAACATTTTCTCCTCGGAATTCTCCAGTTTTCATAATTAAGAAAAAAATCAGGTAAATGGAGAATATTAACTGACTTAAGAGCTATCAATTCAGTTATACAACCTATGGGAGCATTACAGCCAGGATTGTCTTCTCCTGCTGTCATTCCAAAAAAACTGGCCTTTAATAGTCAAAGAGACTCTTTCTTTACTATCCCCTTAGCTGAGCAAGACTGTGAATGATTTGCATTTACAATCCCTGCAGTAAACAAACTGCAGCCTGCTAAGTGTTTTCATTGTTTTACAGATGGGGTCTACTAATGGTAAAGCTTCTTATTCTGGAGCAAAAGGTAAAGTTTTCCACATGCCTTATACTTCAGCTCAAAAAGCGGAGCTTGTGGCTGTAATTGAGGTATTGACTGCTTTTGATATGCCTATTAATGTGATTTCTGATTCTTCATATGTGGTTCATTCCACATAGTTAATTGAAAATATTCAGTTACTATTTCATACAGATGAACAACTGATGACTTTATTTACCCAATTGCAAACAGCAGTTAAGAGTAGAATGCACCCAAAAAGGGTACATCACTCACATTAGGGCTCATACACCTCTTCCAGGACCTTTGACTGAAGGGAATCAAATGGCTGATCGCCTAACTGCTAATGCAATATCTAATGCTAGACACTTTCACAATTTAACCCATGTTAATGCCTCTGGTCTCAAACGCAGATACAACATTACCTGGAAAGAAGCTAAAGCTATTATCCAGCGATGCCCAACTTGCCAAATGGTACATTCCTCATCTTTTACAGGAGGAGCTAATCCTCGAGGATTGGATCCTAACTCTCTTTGGCAAATGGATGTCACATATATTCCCTCGTTTGGGAGACTAGCTTATGTATGTGTATGTGTGGACACCTTTTCTCACTTTGTCTGGGCTACATGCCAATCAGGAAAGTCTTCTGCCTGTATTAAATGTCATCTTTTGCAGTGTTTTGCGATGATGGGCATTCCAGCTTCTATTAAAACAGATAATGCCCCAGGCTATACTAGCCAAGCTCTAGTTACATTTTTCTCTATGTGGAATATTAAACACATTACTGGTATTCCATACAATTCTCAAAGACAAACCATAGTGGAAACAATGAATCTCTCCCTAAAACAGCAGTTGCAAAAGCAAAAAGGGGCAGACAGAGAATATGGAACCCCACAGATGCAACTGAATCTAGCATTATTAACTTTAAATTTTTTGAGCCTGCCCAAAGGTCAGATGTTATCAGCAGCTGAACAGTATCTATAGAAACCAGCTGCAAAGACAGAAGCAGAACAATTGATTTGGTGGAGAGATCCAGTAACAAAAAGTTGGGAAATAGGTAAAATAATAACTTGGGGTAGAGGTTACACTTGTGCTTCTCCAGGCCAAAATCAATAGCCGATTTGGATACCATCAAGACACCTGAAACCTTATCATGAGCCAGATGCAGAGGAAGAGACTCCGGGAGGATCCCAAGGATCCCCCCGTTGCAGCCATGTCAAGACTGAGGCTGAGGAGGACCCCAACTGTCATGAGCAACACCCATCGAACACAGCCATCCACCTGGGGACAGATCAAGAAGCTGTCACAGATGGCAGAAGAAAACCTGAGGAAAGCGGGACAACCAGTCACGATGAATAATTTAATGGTAGCTATGATAGCGGTTATTACCACTGCCGTGAGTATTCCTTCAATAAGGGCTGACACAGAGAACAATTATACTTATTGGGCATATTGATCAATCTTGGCTGGCAATAATGCCTAGATGTAAATCACTCTATGACACAGTTACACGTGCTTTCTGATCTCAGTATTTACCATAATAAATCTGCTCCTATTATTGAGGCATAACGCCCTCAAAAATCTATTTGTAAACAGGATTGGACCCAGTTAGAAATAATGAACATACTTGTTTAGGAAGATTGCTTTGCAGAACAGGCAGAGGTGCTACACAACAATTCCTATGGAATCATTATTAATTGGTCCCCTAAGGGGATGTTTAGCTTGAACTGCACCTCTCAGTCTGCGTGCCATGGTCACACTATGTTCAGATGATCTGAACAAAACGGTCAGACGGTAAAAATGATAAGAAGTACGTCAAAAGTTCCTATTATCTGGAACCATGGCGGTATAGTGGCACCTTAACCTCAAATGATATGGCCCGCTCTAGGAGCTAAACATAAGGATTTGTGGAAACTATTAAATGCTCCTAATAAGATCAAAATGTGCAAAAGAATAAAAAAGCATCTAAAAAGACACTCTACAAACTTGTCTTTGGATATTGCAAAATTAAAGAACAAATATTTAAAGCATCCCACACACACCTGACCTTAATGCTAGGAACTGAAGCGCTTGAAGGAGTTGCAGACAAATTAGCAGCTAGTAACCCATTAAAATGGATAAAAACACTTGGAAGCTCTGTGATTTCAATGATGATTGTGCTTTTAATCTATGTTGTTTGTCTTTGTATAGTCTGCAGATATGAATCCTGACTCCTGCAAGAAGTAGTTCACTTGACAAAGCAGCCTTTGCTTTCATCTTTTCGCAAATCAAAGAAGGGAGACGTGTTGGGAGCAAGTGCCCCAAAATCCAGCCATAAACTGGCCCCAAAACTGGCCATAAACAAAATCTCTGCAGCACTGTAACATGTTCATAATGGCCCTAACGCCCACACTGGAAGGTTGTGGGTTTACGGGAATGAGGGCAAGGAACACCTGGCCCGCCCAGGATGGAAAACCGCTTAAAGGCATTCTTAAGCCACAAACAATAGCATTAGCGATCTGTGCCTTAAGGACGTGCTCCTGCTGCAGTTAACTAGCCCAACCTATTCCTTTAATTCAGTCCATCCCTTTGTTTCCCATAAGGGATACTTTTAGTAAATTTAGTATCTATAGGAACAATGCTAATGACTGGTTTGCTGTTAATAAATACGTGGGTAAATTTCTGTTCGGGGCTCTCAGCTCTGAAGGCTGTGAGACCCGATTTCCCACTTCACAACTCTATATTTCTGTGTGCATGTTTCTAATTCCTCTAGTGCTGCTGGGTTAGGGTCTCCCCGAGCTGGTCTCTGCAGTGAAATTCCATCTCTATTAAAAATACAAAAAAATTAGCTGGGCATGGTGGCAAGCACCTGCAATCCCAGCTACTTGAGAGGCTAAGACAGGAGAATCACTTGAACTTGGGAGGCAGAGGTTGCAGCGAGCCAAGATTGAGCCACTGCACTCCAGCCTGGGCAACAAGAGCGAAACTCCATCTCAAAAAAAAAAAGAGTGATAGCTGAAGTCTATGGGGTTGCTTTCTGAGGTGATGAAAATGCTCTAAAATTGACTGTGTTGAGAGTTTCACATATCTGTGAATAGACTAAAAACCACTGACTTACACACTTTAAATAGGTAATTGTATGGTATGTGAATTACATCTCAAGAAAACATTTGAAAAACTACATGAAGACTGCAAAATGACAGAAACAAATTAAATCTGTGTCCTCCTCAACTTATTACTACATACTATTTATTTTGCTTTTGACTGACTTTAAATAGGACCTTCTTTGTCAGTTGTTTATTCCAGGTACAAAATATAAAAACTATGAAAGCCAAACAAATTATGAAATAAAACTGTTAATTAACTATAGGTCATAAGTAAAGTAAAAATATGTTATTGAAGGAGGTGAACAGGTCAACCTTGAGATTTGAGAGAAACAATCACATCTTTTTATAAGCAGCAGCTAATCCCAAGTTGGCACAGTGAATGACACAGAGGCCGGCATAGTAAATGTTAGTTCCTTTCATCCTGTTTATACCCGCAGTGACAAGATCATTCCCAAGAACCTTCCTATTTTTGCCAATGTTCCATTACTCCAAGATTTAAAAAAACAAAAACAAACAAAATCAGTGCTCTTACCATTCCAACCTGGTCAATGGTCTCTTGAACTCTATCCAGAAGAACAGAAATTATCTCAGGATGAACAGCTGTGATGGTCCCTAAAAGCTCTCGACCAACCTTTGAAAAAGTCTCTCTGGTAGACAGGGTGACATAAGATACCTAAATAGGGAACAGGGGGAAGAAGATGGCACTTTTAATATCAATTATCAGTCAAAACACCCTTATATAGTTTTTTCAAGCAAAGCAGAAAGAATCTTATATTGAGCCTTAGTTGACGCTATGTTCCAAAAAATGTTAAAACTTCATATAGGCAACTGTCTACTCTGAGGCTGAAAGGTGGAGGGAGAGGAATATAAGAGAATGGCAACTTTTTATAACAATGACTTCAAGTGTGGATTCAAAAAGCATATCCCAAAGTTTGTAGGTAATAATAAAATGGTTCCTGCAGTTTCAAAACTTTTCTAAATTTGAGGAAATCACTACAATGGTGAAAATCAGAATGTATTTCATGGAAATGCCTAGCTTCCCCTACAAAATAAGATCCCTAACTACAAGGTCTTCTAAAACATTAATGTTTACCAACTTGTTTTGAATTAAGTCTTTCAAAGTCTATGTTACAATCCATTAATGCCAATGGTATTTTTTTAACACAATGGAATAAACAGAAAAATAACATAGAGAATAAAATAAAATGGAAAAATGTAATAGTGCATCACAGGTAGATTAAGTATTGCTTCAACTGTACATACACACAAAGGATCAGAATGTAATATAGAATGTAATTTTTATTGTGACTCCTAGACAAAACACTGGAAACTTTACTCAAGAGCATAAATATTACTTTAGTAACAGATCTTGAGAATGTCACTTAATGTATGTGAAAATATGTCTTGTCTCCCCAAGTTTTTCAGATCAAAGACAGTCTGAATTCCAGATCCATCGAGACCTTAACTTTATGCATAGTTATGAAGTACAGGTATAGGAATCGCTGAATCAAGTATTTGATCCCGGAAAGAACATCCAGGTTTGTCATTCTCAAATGGATTATTAGGGGAAGATAATAAAACCCAAATAATCATCTTCAAACATAATTTTACTTGAGTACACTTGAATACTTTGGAGGACATATCTTGCATGCAGAGCAACAGATACACGAGAGTTTAAAGTGTAAAATGTGCAGGGCTTTTTAGATATACAAAAAACTCCAATGAACGTTTTGGTAACCACCTTGGGCTAGTCCCTAGATGCTCAGGGGTCAACATTTCACTCCCCTCCACCCTCACGGATGGCTCACCAAAAAGATGCAGAACGCAAGGATCTCATCCTAGCCTGTAATTTCATATTACAGATGAGGAAAATGAAGCCTGGGGTGATATGTTATCTTTTTTGATGTGAGATGGCCAATTAATAGCAGAGTTAAAATGCAAGTATCCTAACTCCAGGTTCAATATTCTTCCCACCATCTCATTTAAACTGGCTGGGAAGCTAGGTTTCTGCTACTAGCTGGAGTGGAAGAGTTTAGCTGAAAGGGTGGGGTAAGGGAAACATACAGCATAAAAACTGTAAGTGTCAGGCTGTATCACACTGTCTCTTCCTTACTGAAACTGGTGCAACAAATTTCAAAAGATCATAAGTACTGGGGAATGGATATAATTCACATTTTCAATAACCCCTGTAGCAAAATCATGTTCCACTGATCCTCCATCCCTTCTCAAAAGTGTAGACAGTAGCTAAATAAGTCACAGTTTGTAAAACAAATCCCCCCCAAAAAATCAACAGATGGACAATCCAAAAGAAAACATTTTTTAGCTAATTTCTCAAACTTCATATTCTAACCTCATATATCTCCAGAACAATAATTTTTATGAAGTCTTCGTCCACATTGGTTCTTCTGGCCTGAGCCATCTGAGCAAAGGTAGTCAGAAGGCAAATCTCTTCTGAGCTATTCATAGAAGAAAGACACTTCTCAAAGTTGGTGAAATGTTCTGGGTCTGCAAGTTCATATCAAGAAAAGTAAAGTCGGGAAAGAATAAATTTACATCTTTTAATCACTCTTCCAGAGAAAAAGATTTAGGAATATTTAAATATACAAAAGTTCTTTCTTTGTTCCAAAATAGATTTCTACAGGCATCAGGAATGAGGCTGGACCAGATGGCCTCTGAAATTCCAACGAACTCTAAATATAATGTAACCTCACAGGAGACATTTAACATCTCTAAGCTTCAGTTCGCACATCTGTCTCAAAAGGTTATTTAAGAAGAAGATTAAACAGCATGTCACTGGTGACGTGCTTTGTTAACTGCAAAGCACTGCTGCTGTCACTAGGCAGTCACCTTCAAAGGCAGTACTGCCAACTTCAAAGGCACACTTGAAGCTACTTGGTAACCATCAGACAAACAAAGACCTGACTAATGAAAACTGCTAATACTAGCAAACTACTTGGCACAAATAGGGCATTCCAAAAAAAGAGATTTGCTTATAAAGAAAAACTGGGGGCAAGAAATTAGTTATAACCATAACTGAAATACTAATGAATGTCATAAACAATATAATAAATGTGATGTGTTTTGCCTATATCGCAAAGGATGTTGTGTAAGGAGTACTAAATTCTGCCATTAGAAGGCAATATTCACAAATATACATGACAGTAAACTAGATGCAAAGTTGTACAGTGGAAAGGAAAAAAAAGCCCATTGAAAAAATACATGTCCTTGGCCAGGTTCTGTGGTTCACACTCGTAATCCCAGCACTTTCAGAGGCCGAAGGCAGGCAAATCACTTGAGGTCAGGAGTTTGAGGCCAGCCTGGCCAACATGGTAAAGCCCCACTTCTACTAAAAATACAAAAATTAGCTGGGCGTGGTAGCACATGCCAGTAGTCCCAGCTACTCAGGAAGCTGATGCAGGAGACTCACTTGAACCTGGGAGATGGAGGTTGCAGTGAGCCAAGATCATGCCACTGCACTCCCGCCTGGGAGACAGAGCAAGACTCTGTTTCAAAAAAAATTTTAAAAATTTAAAAAATAAATAAATAAAATAAATAAAAAAATAAAAAATATATATATTAAAAAATATATATTTCTATACATATCCTTGATGGAACTTTTCACAGTAAGAAGGCAACAAGCCAATAATTTCGTTCACATTTACACATTTGAGAAACCAAGATAGCTCACCAAATTTCCTGCATTTTCAAAATAACTCCAGGACATTTACCAAACCAATTTTCATTTTCCATCTCCAAATTGGATTTAGAGTGGAAATTATTACACAGAACATTCTCAGAATAATGAAAATTGGCATGATCATTCTAACTTACATTGTGAAAGGATATTTAAAAAGAAAAAAAAGAATTATCCTTCAAACTTACAATGTTCAAGGTACAAATCAAGGAAAAGGCATTATATTTTAAATAATTCTATAGAAAAAACAACGGGAAAGTGAAATAACTTTCTAATTAGCTTTTAAAATATTAACTATAAGGACAAACAAACATATTTCTACATTTATTTATCATCGAATTTGCTTATGGCTACACTTTACTAGTAGTCAGAATGTTGATCAGACTAGAAATAAACAAAAAGAAGCCAAATTAAAACAGACCGGTTTTTAACAATCACTGCTGAGAAATGTGTTAGTTAGGAAATGTTAAAACTAGTTAAAATGTGTTCCTTGGAAACTGATTCCAAGCTCACCCTACCCCCATTACCACAGATAAATAAGAACTGGTTATAAAGAATAAGCACTTCTGGCAATTATTAAATATAAAAAGTTAGGAAGGTAAAATATGTTAGGAAGCCTTATTCTTCCACAAACAATAAAAACCAAGCCTTCTAACAAAATTGGTTTATAAAAGATTAAGCAAAGGAGAAGATGAAAAAACAGCAAATTAGAGCAGGAGATCAGTGCAAAGACTCCAATCTCAAGCTTAGAATGTAATAAGGCAGATGAAACTTCTCTACTGTGCCACTAGCTCCTGTGTCAGGTGATACAGGCCCTAAGGGAGATAAAGATAAAAGTGCCATGGGAGCCTGGAGTCCAGACAGAGAACTCCAGCAGCAGGATCCAAAGCTCCAGGGCAAGGCAAGGCTGGTACTGCTGCTTCAGGGTCTGGAATCACATCCACTACAGAGCTGAGCTGTTCAATATCGGCTCCATCTGCCACATGGTAACACAGAGCCTGGCAGATAGTAAGTCCGCAATGAAGGGAGATGACACTACAAAGGAGACCTACCCAGGATTCAGGTATAAAAAGAAGTGCTGCTGACCATCCTAGCACTTCCGAAGGAAATGTCTGCTTCTGTGTTAGCTATTTCAACCACAGAAATAGCTGCCAGAGGACAGACAATGGCTGTGAGACCTCTCACCTAGCTCACTCGTAAGCCCAGGTCCAACCATGGCAACAGTCTAATAGAAGCACTGCCCCCAGGACAGCAGAGAAGCATTTTACAAAGCAGAACAATGTAAAGGAGTCCAGAGCTACCACTAAAAAGATAAAAAGAAAAACAAGAGACAAAAGGGGATGCATGCAGAGCCCCAGAAAAGAAAAAAACAGAAACAGAAGAATAAAGACATCAATCTAGAGAGATAGAAATGGAGGCTGAGTGCGGTGGCTCATGCCTATAATCCCAGCATTTCGGGAGGCCAAGGCATGTGGATCACTTGAGGTCAGGAGTTCAAGACCAGCCTGGCCAGCATGGAGAAACCCTGTCTCTACTAAAATATAAAAATTAGCTGGGCATGGTGGTGCGCACCTGTAATCCCAGCTACTCAGGAGGCTGAGGCAGGAGAATCACTTGAGCCCAGGAGACAGAGGTTGCAGTGAGCCGAGACTGCGCCACTGCACTCCAGCTGGGGCAAGGCTCCATCTCAAAAAAAGAAATGGAAATAAAAAAATAAATCATGAATGTCTGCACAAACTACTTTGCAAACAGTAGCGGCTCAATAATTTTTAAAGTATATGGTTTTCTTTTAAGTGATACAGACATTTAAAAATTTGGAAAACAGTCTTTACTTCCTGTTGTGAAGGAAAAAACATTTGGAAAATAGAATTATCTTTTGTGTTTCTTTTTAATCTTGTATTTCAGTATATTGTCCATCATTTTTTAATGTATAGGGTAGTTTTTTAAAATCACTACAATATACATCTAATTAAATAGCGTTTTTCATTTTGAACATTGTAATTTTTGTGATAAGTAAATGTCCTGGCCAGGCACGGTGACTCACACCTGTAATCACAGCACTTTGGGAGACCGAGGTGGGCCTGAGGTCAGGAGTTCAAGACCAGCCTGGGCAACAAGATGAAACCAGGTCTCTACTAAAAATACAAAAATTAGCCAGGTGTGGTGGTATGGACCTATAAGTCCAGCTACTTAGAAGGCTGAGGCACTAGAATCAGTTGAACCCAGGAGGCGGAGGTTGCAGTGAGCCAAGAGCACACCACTGCACTCCAGCCTGGATGACAGAGTGAGACCCTGTCTCAAAATAAATAAATAAATAAAAATAAATAAATATTCTATAGTTTAGAGGTGGTATGACACAAAAACTTAAGTTTTCACCAAAATTAATTTTTAAAGTACACCTGTCTATATCTTTAGTTCATAAAAACAATACAACTTTAAAAAAAACAGCAATAAAAGAAAGATATTAGAGGAACGGCTGGGCACAAAGCCTTAACAAATTTCTAGACAATTAATACATATCTGTTAATACAACTGCCAACTAGAATAATTTCACACACAAATGCAAAAAAAAAAAAGTGCTTCCTAAAAGTTAGAATACTGTGTGTATTGGCATACTGTTTGGGACTAATCAAATTTTGATTTCAGATATGCTAGTTGCTGTTTAATACATCAAAACTGTGAAGCAGTCTGTTGAATTTCAAAATCATTACCCTTGAATACGTATGTAGAGCAAAACATTTTCTCTTAGTCCCTCTAAAAGTAAAAATTAAGCCCTGAAGAGAAGCACAAAAAGATAGGGAGAGCAGAACACCGACTGCTCGGTGGGGCCGTACCTTGGAGCTGCTGCTTGCACTGGGCGGGCTGCAGGGAGGAGGAGAGCTGCTGCAGGTTCTCGCTCTCCACCTGGTGCATGAGGTAGAAGAGCTTCCACAGCATTTGCACAGACAGAGTCCCAAAGGGCATCTCGGACATAAACAGCCAAATGCCAAGTCTGCACGTAAGCAGGAATCGTTTTATTTATTAATCAGCTTCATTACATTAAGAAAGTAGAAAAACCATTGGCTCTCAAGGAAAAAAAGATTCTTAAATCACACTACGATTTTTCTAATATGCTTTAGTCATAAACACCTCAAGGACGGCTAAGAATAACAGCAAATACAAACCACCCAGTCTGTGCCAGGGACTGTTCTAATCACTACAATGTGTGCATGTGTGTGTGTACACATATAAGTACAATATCAACTCAAACCATCCTCACAAAAACCAAGACAACAATTATGGATATGGCCGGGCATGGTGGCTCACGTCTGTAATCCTAACAATTTAGGAGGCCGAGGCAGATGAATCACTTGAGGTCAGGAGTTCAAGACCAG